AGAGAGAGAGAGAGAGAGAGAGAGAGAGAGAGAGAGAGAGAGAGAGAATAGGAAAGGGTGAGTCAGGTAGGAGGGTGAGACGGCGTGCTTCCTGGCAGAAATCTGAAACAAACGAGCAGCATTCCGTCCGTCGTGGCTTTCCGTGCAAATGCGATCGTGCGCCGGATTCGCGGAATGGGAATGGTACGCGCTGTGACACGCAATGCTTCAAAGAGCCCAATCGAGTCGGAGGTACTTAAATTGAAACGCGACAAGCGCGGAATGCACGCCCGCGAGCAACGAACTCTCGCGAGATTACGAGATGCAATCTTTCTGCTAAAAATTCTGATATATAATCTACTTAAGAACGATAGTAAACGAAAACGACTTGCAAGATATTGAATAATGTTTCAATAACTGCACATAATGTTTTTGATAGAAGATTATTAATAAAAGATGTTTTTGTAATTGACTTTCCCTCTAAAAGTTAGGTTAGATATGTATATTCGAATATCCTTGCAAAATCAGAGTACAAATTAGCTGAACGAGGAAATTTTGTTACTCACATAAATATTATCATTTAAGGCATATATAAATTCGTCTAAAGCAATTTTATCATAATAATTTCACTAATAAATTCTCAAACGTATAAAACACTATTTGCATTCCTCCAATTTTCTTAAATTCACATATCTCATGACCACAAATTTTTTCTGACTCGCTCGATATTCATCATCCTAATATAAAGTGGCGCATCAACTGTAAAAAGCGCAAGAGCACGCTCCCATGACCAGATTCTTTTTTTTTTCCTGAAGAGAAATTAACCCTCTAAACGGCTATTAGAGCCGTGAGCGTGCGCGTTTTCTCTGAGAATAGACGATCTAATTCTGTGGACGAGAGGAAGCGAGGAACGAGCTGATGGAGCGGGGCGAAGCGAGAAAGACGGACCACCGTGATTGCAATTTTAACGCCAATTTGACTTGAATCTTCTCTGCCCGAAAGAAATACTGTTTTCATGCTCAATATAGCGGCTCGCTAATAATTAACAGCCAACTCGTGGCACTTTGCACGTACAGGGTGTCTCGATGCTACGAGAGACACGACTCATACCTCGATTTTTTAAGTTATTCTTAATCTTAAACAATATTAATGTGCACAAAACCGAATTGTTTATACGCTATTTATACGTGTATTATATTTACATTATCTCTAATGAAACTATCTTATATCTTATATCAAACTATCCTAATTTGCAGATTTACTATAAATATTAATATGAAGATATCTGTAGATCAATTACATAACAAAATTGATATATGTATATTAATATAATATACTGTATAATTATTATGTTAATATTAAATTATATATGTTTATACAATTGATAAAATTATAAATCTAGATAATAATAAAATTAAATTATAAAATTAAAATTAAATAATCAAATTGCAAATTTTATGAGAGAATTACTACAGGGAAGATTATCGACGATTGTATTAGTACCATACGTAGGAGTTTGCAACAAACGCCGAACGCGTTTAAGTGAAATTCTGCGATACACCGAGTAGGTGTACCGAGTAGGTCTTACGGTGTTAGCGGGTGGTCCTCATTATGTTGGGTTCCTCACTGCTTACCCCGTCCTATCTATTTAACGTATCGTTTGCCTTGGTAACCATCCAAATTAGCTCATCCTTCTCTATCCTGCACCAACAGCATCTCCCGAGCCCGCTCGTGTCCTCCTTAATTATTGGGAAGACGATGTTTAATAACGACGATCCTACCGTCACGGTGTGCCCTAATCGAAAACACTCGTTTCCTGCGAAAGATTACGTCGTAATGGCAAACAACGCGGTAGCTAGTTTATTTGGGATGTTATCAGGATGATAATTACATATTTTTCAACACTATGTATTTCTTGCACGAATTCTTTTTAAGATCGAAGAGAGATAAAGCCGATATCATTTTGATTCGCTTGATTAACTTATCAAAATTTCTCTGCAAAGATCTACATGCAAGCATTAAAATTTTCGAAAATTTAAATATCTTGAGAATATACTGAATATTGCGATTAATTTTCAAGAAGTCAGCCCAGGAGAACGAAGTTACGACCTCGCCAATCGGACACGCAAATTTATCTTGGAAGGAAAACGGGATAGATATGCTCACGGAAGCGAATTTAAAAGTCAATGGCCTGTAAACATTAATGCCTCGAGTAACGAAAGATAGCGAAGTGCTTTGTTACGGGAGTTTATGAGCCTCTTTATTGCCATCGTGATTTCTTCCCGATTGCCGAGCGTGCAGCTAGCGTAATATCGCGCTGTTGTAAGTCTACCGATTTAGCTGCGGGAGAAGTTAACCGGCGGCGAATCGTCTTATGTATTATCTCTGCTTCGTTACGTATAACGTACGACGCGAGTCTGAGATAATATCGACGGACGAATAACAATTTCTTAGAAAGGTAGTTGCGTGAAAAGGTCAATTGAACAATGCATATTTATATTTCGGCTCTAGTTGAGCGGCGTAATTAAATGTCACGAAGTATCCTGCATACTAATTGATCCCCGAGAGACAATAGTTTATCTGTTTTATACTGAACGTCTTCCACAGAGTTTTTATTCGCGATTAATAACTTCGCCTGTTCGGAATCTTTATTAGGTCTATGAACAAAACAGACGCGCATTGTCGTCTCGATTTTTTGCCTAATAGAGATCATCACGAATAATGTAACGATATAAACTCGTTCGCGTTTGGTGCGCGATACGTTTTTGGAATTCAACATCGATTCCGATAAAGCGGTGAAAATAGACGCCGCGCGGATTTCCGAGCGATGAAATTTACGGCGCCAGCCAATTCCGCGAAAATGGAAGAACGTCCGCGAGGTTTTATTCGGCGGGTGTTGGTGCTTTATCGAGCCCCTATCGGGACTCATTTGTTTTTGCTTATCGCGAAGTTACGTGACGGAGCCACCGTAAATATGACGGACGGGTAGGCGACGATGGAATCTCAGCGCGCCGTCAGAACAAACGAGCACCACGGACGAACCCCAAAAATCTCCCGACACGCGGCGACGCGGAGCGATGCGACGCGACGGCTCGATTTAGGGGCTGAACGTCGAGAGGGAAGTCTCGAGACTGAGAGGGGTTGACGTTCGACCGCGAATCGATATGCCTACCTATCTACCTACGTGCGCGAGCAAACTGTATATCTCCGTACTGGACCGAGAAAAGGCATGGCTGAAATTTCGAAATTCTCATATTTTCATGTCTCGCATATTTCTTAAGACCACGATTTAATCCTTATTGGCGACTATAATTTACATTTAATGCCTTATTTCGCATTATTATATGTTTTGATTTATAATTAATTCAATATAATAATTATGGCACTTATTTTGGAAAGTTATAACTGTGTCATATCGAAGTTATTTAAAACAATAGAGTGAGACACATGACAAATCGCTTATTAATTTAATAAGAAATGGTGATTCAATACTGTATTAATTTCTAAAAAAGCAAATTCTTTGCCGAATTTAAAATCACGAATCCAATTTTACTTCAAATCAAATCTGTTGACTAAAAATTAATCGCAAAACAAATAACAAGCTTGTTATTTCCTTTTCTTCTCGCAAAAAAATTAAAAACGATGTTGTGTTTTCAACATTATCTTTATAATTAAATTCTCCAAATTTTTCTTAAAAGAATGATTAAGCTATCGAAGTATTTATCAAAAAGATAGTGCGATAAAAAAATTAAAATGTTGTGTTGTTTACTTTATAACGACATTTTGTATCGACTAATCCAAATATAGTCTCTTCGCATTATCGGTGTTATTTAATGCACCGACAATTGAAAACTATCTCATCCGCGCTCTTAATTTTTTTTTTCAATCTTAATCACCCCGCCTAATTGCTCAATTGCGCTCATTACCGTCTCCGACGTAGTAAAGCGAGTGGCGATTAAATCTTTCCCTCGTCGCCGTCCCCTTACCGCGCCGCTCTCGCTCCGTGACGGCACGTCGCATTTGCACGAGAGAAACTTATCCCTCGGTACAAAAATCGCTGTATAGATAATTCCTCCTGCTCCTGGGTTCCAGCCACGGGGCGGAGCGTCGCGAGGAATGCCCCCGTTAGTAGTTCCCAGCCTCGCCCCATTCTGATCCTCTCCTTCTCGCTCTATCGCCCGGATTCCCCACTTCCACGAAGAGACCGCTCTTCCGTCGACGAGTGTTCGACCCCACCACGAACGCTTAGCCGAAGGCAAAACGAAAAATCAGGGCGGTGCTGGCTAAGCGGTCAAACTCAGTCCACACGGAGAGCTCGGCTTGGCTAGAGGCTATCCAGAGCTGCTGGTCAACGATCATTGATCCACGAGAGTTGTCAAACGTCGAGTCCCTGGTGTGATCGATGTGCCTCGCGCGCGTCCTAATTTGAAGTTGACCGTCGGCGAACTCTTCGAGCAAACTCCGGATTCCGAATTCGTAAGAAACTATGTGCGAGTCAGTGAAGAGTCATTCGTGAAGTAGTGAACTACGTCGAGCTTCTATCGTCCGTCGCGGAATGAGCGGATAGTTCTCAGACTACAGATATCAAGGCACCGTTATTGCGGATCTCACCAGTGCTAATCGATACGAACGTGATCGATTGACGTCTAAGAATGACAGTAATAAGGATGACCTCGCCGGTGACGCCTGCATCGACCAGTCCGGACTCGCCAGATGAGGCTCAGGCATTGCAGGCAAGTCCCAAACCGGCTCATCGATTGAGTTTCTCCGTCGCGGCTCTGCTAGCGGACACCAGAAAAACGTCGGATTCCTCGACGAGGCAGAACGCGATCCTAACATCACCCAGATCGTCACCGATCGTCTCGTACCCGATTCGACAGGAACCTCGTATGTTGAAGCATCCGTGCGATTTCAAAACGTCGAGATATATTTTGTCATCGTCGCCCAACCTCAATCAAGAAACCAGATTGATTCATTGTACCTCTCCTCACAATACTTCGGAATCCAGAACACCACCGAGGTATCACGAAGCGATCGACTATGCCTGCAATATCGAGTCACCCGGCAGACGATCGACCTCTGGTAGCATCGACTATCGCATGCATCCATCCACGGACGTCAGTACTACACCGGAACCCATAGTAGGTTGTTCCTCGTCTCCGAAGATCATCGGCAACCATCAGGATGCCGGTTCGCAATCACCGAGAAGCAGCTCCCACGGCGAAGCCCGCTCGAGGTGTTCAGAAACGGATGATATCGAAGAGGACGACGAGAGCAGACTGGTTGACGTGGAGGATCTTCAGCATCCGTCCAGCCCAACCCCTATTAGGCCGACACCGGCCTATCTCGGCGGTTTTGCCACCATCGGCGGTATCCCGGAGATCCCGCCTGGTTTTCACTCTGCAGTTTGGGGCGGCGGACATCAGAATGCAGTTGCGGCGGCCGCGGCCACGGCTACATTCTTCCCTTCTCATTTCTCTCATCATGCTCCTCTAAACGGTAAATGTCAACTTTGATATTTTCGCATTCTATATGTATTTTTGAAATATTGTTTTTGTTTGAAATATTAACGCTAGAATGATGAATTAATCATAATAATTCGACTAATTTGATGTCCTCATTTATATCTAAACATTCTAATCTCTATATATTGATGATACTACAGAAAAGAACATGATATTTGACAGAGAAATCTCATTTTCTTTTATGTTCCGAATAATAGTTCTCCTAAGTAGCCATTAATCGTTTCATTAAATAGTCATTAATCATTTGATCGTTCTAACGTTAATCTCAAAAGAGCCGAGCTATTTGGCCGTGTGACGACAACTGTGTTTGCGATTGTCTTTAAGCTTTGGCGGAGTGCCAATCGCCTTTGTGTTTCTCGGCAGATTCTTTTCATGGTTCATTGCGGCTAAAGCGATTACGCGGTTACAGACGTGGTTTACGGATGGCAATTTCTCGCTGCTATATAGAATCCAGACAACTTTACTCCTTATCGATACGTAATATTGAACGTGATGATATTCTGAACATAAGCCTCGCAGAAGACTATCTCGTGGTAATAATCACGCAAATGTACTTTCTGTTTACGATTTTACAACAGCTTATAACAATTTAATAATTTTCTACAAGTTTCTGAATCGTAATTCTCTAATTCTAACATAAATAATTAGCACCAACCGACATATAACGTCTTTAACTACTTGACACGATTGTAAATAAATGATATCACCTCTAACGCTAATTACGTTAAACGATTTACGGATTACAAAAGACGATTGTTGAAGAGGCAATTTGAGTCATCATTTTGTCTCGTCAAGAAAACAAAGGACTAGAAACGCAGGACTGAACTTAACTAGCTTGTGGATTTTTTAACGAAACAATGGGTGATTATCGAAAGGCGTTCCGAGACAAATCGCGCAATCGGCGAACAAAAATTGATTCTCTAACGGCCGTTTCGGCCACTGCTGGAACGATAGCCTACCGTCGCTCGATCGGGCCAAACAATTCTCAACGTATTCTCGCTTGATAAACGATTGTTATGAAAGAACTCTCTTGTGATTCGTAGATAAAATATTTATCTAATATTGTTACGCAATAAAATCTGCCTCAATGCTCTTCAAACATTTTATCATTTAATCATTTCTAAATTTAATTGGCTTGTTTGTCTCTAAACGTTAACTATTTACTGTATGAATATTTTTTTAGACGTTTCTTTTTAATGCAAAACTTTCTTTTACGTACAATTTATTTGTAACATAATATCTGCGTAAATACTTTATCAATTTTTTATAAATTTTTAGATTAATTTTTATAACAAATATATAGGTAATGTATATCTAAAAAGCATTAAAGAATTTCAAAAGTTTATATTTACTTTATCTTTTTAATTAAAAAATTTAAATTGAAGATATATTGAAGATATATATCTGTTGCTAATAATTAGTTGAATTAATATTTACGTATATTAAAGAAATATAGATAAGAATACATGAAAATTTATCCCGAGAATAAAAATAGCTACTTGTAAACACAAATAATTCTCAAATAAGATCCCGTGTGAAATATATGATACGGGCAAAATGCCATAATTCTGAAATATGAACTCTCGTAGAGGGTATTTTCACAGATCGGCGCACCCCTTCAAAGTTTTACGCCATCGTTCTTTTATCATGATTATCTTAAATAAGTGATTCTGTACCGTAAAAAAATTTACTGGTGGTACAAATGTCGCGAAATTTAAGCAGTTTTATCTTTAAGTTGTACAGACAATTATAAACAATACACAATTCTCCTAAAAATGCTTTCTGATATAATTTGAATATTATATTGAAAAAAGAACATATGATACTTTTGCTAAAATTTGATGATACAAAAAATTCATAAAGTTCATATTATATTTTAAACATAGGAAATTATTAAGAAATTTTTTTATATTTCTTAAAATCAATTGTAAATTTTTCCTATTATTATTCATTTTACATAGCTATATGAATTAGAAATGATAATAATTTTTTAAAATAAAGATATGATTTCTTATCAGAAATAATGTAATTCCAAAATAATGGTTTTTACGTCATTATTCACTTTGTTCGTAACTTTGTCCAGATTGAAATTGCTACAAATACACAGGCGCAGTGAGGAAATCGAGCACGATTATATCGAGAACGTTAATCCTTTCGATCGTTATGCAATGCAATAAAAGACACCCAACCGTTCACGATCCTTCCTTTCCAGTTTGCACTGCGTCCGATGATCGTTGCATTCGTGGAACAAGCTTATCTCGGCGGAATCAGCTAATTATTTCGAATGCACATTCTCGATCGGTAACATCGGATTGAAATTGGCCCCCGCGTTTTTGGTGGCCCCGCGACGCGGAGAGATCACCGGATGCCGAGACTAATTGGAACCCTTAGCGTGCGGTGAGGAACGTATACAAAGGACAATTCCGAAGTAGGATCGAGCATGGCGCATACTAGCGTGCTATAAGTCCGGGCTGATGCGTAGAGAATCTTGGAACAGCGACAGGGAGGAAGGATGAGAACAAGGCGAGAGGAGGCGAGCGAAGGGCGGTTCCGACGACGAATTTGAAATTCAGAAACGGCAACTGCCAAGACGACGACGATGTGGCCTTTTGTCTCGTCGTGATCTCGGCTCGCTGCTTCGGTACAGAAGCTGTTCACCTCCGCTCTACAAATCTGTCAATTGTCTCGAGACAAATCTCGAGGAATATAACCGATATATTCCGATACCGCGGCGGACTCCCTGTATTCCTTTCTGCTCCGTAGTAGCTTGACGCGTCCTCGATTATCTGAACGTGGCGTGGAGGGATAGACGATATTCTCTGTACATTGAGCTTTTAGAAAAAATATCTATATTATACATAATTATTTTGTCTCGAACTATGTATTGAGGATGAAAATGAAGAAATAACTGTTTTGGATTTTATTTAGAAACAATTAAAAAGTATTGTAAATTATTTAAAGAGCGCAAAATTTTCTTTGCATTTTTCATATTAATTTCTTAATTAGTTATTCATAAGAATTCATAAAATTTGAAAATAATTTTTTATCTGCATCATCTAAATTCTTGTAATGTAATGAACTTTAAGAATTTTACGAGATTTCTTCTCGTTTGATATTAATCCAACAAAATGATACTAATAAAATCCGGATTTATCTAAAGAAATTAAGTATATCTACTCCTATTGAATCATAAAATCTTACTACCATGGTTAGCAAAATAATGCAATATTAACCATCGAACCGTATAGGCGCAATTAACCGATACTGCGGTCGTGTCTTTTTCTAAGCAGCGAGCGAAGAATACCAAGCTCACCAACGACGTCTTTCTTCGCGCGAGCAGGCGTTACGATCGACACTCTTATGCGAGTGGTAGCCGCTGCCGGGCCGTGTAGAAACAATTCGCGGCCGGAATTTTGCGGTCGGACAGCAAAAAAGTAATGAGGCCAGTTTGCGGCGCCGTTCCGACGGAAAAATTATGAATTGCACCCTAAAAAGACGCGTTTGCCCTTGCCGGGCTATTCCGTCGGTTCGAGGCCGACAAAAACGGGACATTGCGGTCTCGGGCCCTTTCCTCCGTTGGCCTACCTATCCCGCGGAACACCTTCGCGAGATATCTGTCCGTCAGTTTGTTCGTACGAGCATAATGCTCGTCGCTGTTCTCGTGCGCAACATGCACTTGGACTGAAAGCGTGTTCCTTTTTTCTTTCAGAGAACGGCGAGCCAGCCAAGATTAAGTGCAACCTGAGGAAGCACAAGCCAAACCGAAAGCCCAGAACGCCCTTCACGACCCAGCAGTTGCTAGCCCTCGAGAAGAAGTTCAGAGAGAGGCAGTACTTGAGCGTCGCCGAGAGGGCAGAGTTCTCGTCGTCATTGCACCTCACGGAGACACAGGTAAAAATCTACTATTTATTGCTTCGTGTACAAGTTGACGGAATGCTAAATTTGATATCAAAATCCTCTTGATAGTTACGCTGCGTCACACGGCATAATTTTAAAGTTTATAAATTTAAATGTAGTCATAAATATTCAGTAGTAAGACATGGCTAATTCTCTTTTAAGATTAAAAATAAATTTCTCTAAGATACCAGCATCATTTCGCTTATTAGCACTAATTAGCGAATAAACTATAAACTTGTTCAACTCCTACCGGCGTTTATTCTACAACCGTCTTAAATTTATTGCTAGTTTATTGTAAATTATTATAAGCTTATTATAATTATTACAAGAGTTTATAGAGATAGCTTGACGGAGAACCAGAATTGGAAATTTTATCGAATATCTTAAATTCTTCACTCGTTATGCAATCAAATTAGCACATTAATATCCGATCCGCCGTGAAGATCGTGGTTTTTTCGAGATGCGGCGTGGCAACTGATTTCATGCGACTAGACTCTCAAACTGGCATTGGTATACGCTTCTCGCATATCTTTCGCCGCTTTTATTTCCTCGGAGCCAGCCGGGTGCCATTCACGAGTCAAAACAGTTTGTGCATGTCTGTCACAGCTTAGTCATAGTAACTGTACGGCGCTGCCAGATGCGCGGTAATTAGCGCGCGTAAATGCGCGCTACCCGTACCAGCGATACAAAGTAAAGAGGACGGTAATTTTATTAATAGACTACAAATTGCCTGTAACGCGTTCCGCAATAGCACGCGATGACCGACCAATTATCTCCGGCTGAGATCCCGATTCTCTGGCAGTGATTTCCGAAACGCATTTCGCGTGCCTTCGCGCATACGAACACGGTAAAGCGCGAATCGTATGAGTTAATTTCCGCGCAGGCTGCCGCTTCGAAACGATCCGACAACAACGTCGATTATTCGATTAAGATAGACGTCGATAAAATTATAGGGAGGGATAACGGTTTGTTTATAGCCGCAGATGCGTCGCCACGATATCGCGGATTATTTATCAGTTCCTCTCTTAGACTTTATCGCGATGTCATAAATATGCCGTTTGCCAAAATTATATCCCAAAAGTGACATTTAAATGGAATTTAATGTGCTCTACCTTCCAATTTATTTTAAAGATTTTACACGCGATGCCAAGTGTTCGAGCTGCAAATTCCAACGGTCGAACAAAATTATACGATGCCGTAAAACTGGTGCAATTTATTACTCCCGTACTCTAAATTAACGTCAAACCGGCAAATTTTGTGTTGATATATCTAGTCAATATTAATGGATAGCATCACAGACATTATTATTCGTACCTTTTAATAAACTTTTTAGCCTGCATTTATTCCAGATTTGAAAATAAATTATTTTTTGTATTTTTGTTAAAAATTTGTGTAAAGTTAGTTTATGCATTCAATTATTTCTCTGTGTATTCTTTCTACGTTGATATAACGTTACTCGTTTGCAACACGTATGAATTTGGAAGCTATTATACATCGATCGTTATATTCCATATTAATCATCGTGTCGGAACTCACATTAAAATACGCCGTTGTAAAGTCGAATTGATTTATTGTTGCAGGTGAAGATCTGGTTTCAGAACCGACGTGCCAAGGCGAAGCGTTTGCAAGAAGCAGAAATCGAGAAGTTGAGAATGTCAGCTGTAAGACAGCATCATACGGCGCTCTACGGCTCACACCCGGGAATCTTAACTCCCGCGGGACTTTATTCCGTAGGAATGCTGTCTCATCCCGGGCTGACATCTCATCACGCAATCGCTCAGCATCCCGCGAGGGAATGAGAGCAGTAACGTTCGATACCGATTAGAAATCACTGAAAGGATCTGTTATCGAATCTCGTATCCCGAGGAATGATTTTTTTTGGCTGCGCGAAAAGGGCAGACTTAAAAATTACAATGCAATTGCAATATGTGGATAAATGATCTTAAAATGATCTCGAAGAGAGAGAGAGAGAGAGAGAGAGAGAGAGAGAGAGAGAGAGAGAGATCGCCATTGGCTTTACAGTATTAGTTTAAAGAAGTAAAGGCTCACAAATCTGTTAAAAAATTCATCTGTGCCAATGTTGCCTGTCTTGAAAAGGTTGGAGGTTGTTGTAAATAGAATTGTAAATATTGCTCATGCACCACGCGTTAACTACTTTGTACATACATAAATACCTAGTGACTATTCGAGAAATGGGGTTGCATTTGCATCGCTGAATGCAAATAATAAAACGAATGAATCTCAGTAATATGAAGAAAATTCTTTTTCCAATTTTGTATAAATGTAAAGCAAACGTAACGACGATCAGGAGAATTTATTTAATAAATTGTATTATCGTAAACAGCGCAATTTATTCCCCTCATTGCCCCTAAGATCCTTTCTTTCGCCTTAATAAAATAAGTCTTAATCAAAAACATAAATTTAAAAATTAAAATTTGAATTAATATAGTATACGTACTCTATAATGTGCTTTTTACTTATGATGAGAATTGAATTAGATTTCAATTACTACAATTCGCACAAAAAATAGAATGTTTCAATAACATTTTTTTAATGAAAGATCTGAACAATTTTAAAATTAGATTATCACTAAATATATAATTATTGATATATTAATTATGTTATCCATGTTGCTCTTTAAAAATTTATTTTAAATTAATTTGATAAAAATTAATAATATTTATTACAAATAAAACAATTAAATAAGCTCATATTATTTTTCTACACTCTTTGTTTTAGTTTTAAAATATATTTCACAGATTGCTAACTTCAACAATTTTAATTTCCGATTTTTAACAATTTTATAAGTAACCTCGTAGTAAGATCTTTCATTTTTATCGAATTTTCATCAAAATGTCACAAACAGGAAAATATCGATAATGAAACATCGGGCGTATAATTGTGTGACGGAAATTGACTACCTCGTTCAGTCGCAGACAATAATACCGCGATACCGAGATCGATTCAAAGTGTGTCCTCGTCTAAGTTTGAGCATCTACGTGAGGAGGTCGTCCACGCGGATCTCCTACGGCGGCGATTACGCGAGCGCGATTACGCGGTATCCGAGAATGGCGTCTCTGTGCGTATATGTCGTTGGGATAAATTAGCCGTGGCAATTAGTTTCGGAATCGGCTTCGCCGGGTGGTTGGCGCCACCATCTTGATTGCGCCCGGGGAAGAACCTTCGAAGACAGTAGCCAGCACTGTTTGCCGAAAGACCCGCGCCGTTCGCGCGGGCTAATTAGCGATGCCCACCGAGATATCGCCGACGTGCGCTAATAATACCGAGCATAAATATTTCGAATTTTTTCGTCTGGTGGCCCGTCCGCCCCTGCTAGCCCCCGTTCATTCGCGAGCGGCCGCCCGCGATATATCATTTTTGCATTAGTTAATTGCAGCTTTGTTCCGCGGGCTCTCGGCACTTTGAGCATTCGTATAGATAAAAGGATCTAGAAAGCTAGACATCTATAAAGCCAAACAGAAATTCTAGGAAGTAAATTTGTGGACCTAGTACAGTCACAGTGCCGTAACTATTACGTCGTGAGAAAAATATGAGAGAGCCACGGAAAATACAATAAAGATAACACTATATAAAATGAAATAAACTAATATATTGTGTGTTGCGTCTGATGATAACAACTCATTATAAAAAATATCAGCTAGCAGAAATACCTGAAGTATTAAGCATCTTACGTCATTATAATTGCACAAATCTTATGTACGATAATTGGCACGTTATTTATAAAATTGAAGCTGTACTGCGATTGTCAACAGCTCCATTTTATCTTCCGAGAGTTATAGCTATGTACAGACACACATATACAAACTTGTAAATTTATAATCAATTTTATCTTATCGTTCTCATGATGCAATCAAAGTTAAACATCCTCATAGGAATATCATCTACCATTTATAGCACAAGATTAGATGGTATTCACCACGTAATTTTTATGACTAAATTAAAATTAATGAACGATATGATAGTAAAATCTTTCTCGAACTAATCGTATAAACTGCTGAGGAAATTGCTTGTTAGACGTTTCTTCGTATAGAAATATGATGCACTTTCAACCATCTTTTTAATTAAACTTAATCTGTGTAAGTCACAAAAAATTTCGCGTTGGGATAGTCTCTCCGAAGAACTGGACGGTACGTGCCTGAATTTTAATCGCGCAATTAGTCGCCAGTCATTACCGCCTGCTTCGACCACTGTTTCAGTAAATAAGATAACGTCAGATCGTATCACGCGAGCTACCGTATTGCTTGTTAGATTTTATTACGAAGACAGATCGTTCACATATTTCACTATACTGTCTCTTGCGTCGGAGAGAAACACATTCCTACGTTTTATATTTTATTTTTATATAATACTATTTATATTTAGCATGTTTTAAAAATATTTCCATTATTAATGTATTAATTAATATGTTAGACATTTAAACATTTAAAATAAAATGAAATAAAATAAAGTTCTGGTGTATTTCTAAATTCTTATCAGACTTTTCCACACGCATGAAATATAATAGAAATTAACATATATTGTTCATAAATTATACTTTTTATAGTGTATCGTATATAAGTATTCTAGTACAATTATTCTACTAACGATCAATTTTTTAATTAAAATTATGATCTTTAAATTGTTATAAAATATATACATATCTACGTATTGATAAGTTTCAAGTTATTCTTCGCCTGTAATAGTTATAAAGAGATATTAATTGTCGCATTCTTGTTTAATGTTTTACATAATATGATATCTCAATGATATGTTAAGCCTTAAGTCAAAGCATTAGAAAGTGCAATAATTTGATGCATCTAATAAAAGTACAATATTTCCATGAGAAATGCAGTTCAATTCTATTTATAAAGAACTAATGTGTTATTACTGATGACTGGTCAAACTGATATATAATGACGTCAGAATGTAATTGCGTTTCTTACAAAATCAATGATAGATACTTTGCAAATGGCAACGGTTTTATATTTTTTATGCGCATTTTATTTCCACTATTTACGATCTCGATAATGCCCGACTAAGTTCAATCGAGTATTGGGTCAAGATCTTTCCACGATTGACTTTAAAATGGAAATCAATTCACATTTTAAACATTCTGAATACAATTTGGATTTCATGAGTTACCATTAATTCCCATTACACAATTCTTATAAGCCTTTGTTCATATTTAATATACTGAACAAATGTGTCTATAACAATCTTATAATTGACATCTTATTAATGGTATAAATTAGATTTTTTCAAATTAATAATAGTTATTATTATTTATTCAAAATAATAGAATAAAATTGATAATAATCGTAGCATAGTTAAAAAGATTTTTTTGGCAATGTATTATATGTATCATGCAATAAGCACAGCAGTTAAAGCAAAGCATACATCAACATTTTCTGCACTTATTTGAAAATCTCAAAACTATAACAGTGTAGTTAATAATGTGTTTTGTTAATCGATAAAAATATCTAATTCTATAGAAAATACTGATATGACATAAATTATTTCTCATTATCAATAATTGCATTGGCAATACGCACAGTTGAGTAGCTGTTGCAATATTATGTGTAAATTACTTGATTGAAAAAGTCAATGTAAATAAAATTAATGAAATATCTCAATGTATATTGACGTAAATAACAATAATTAATTACATTTAAGATATCGTCTTTAATAATAACGCTTCAAACACGGTTTGACCTACAGCAATACATCACACGTATTATGCATAAACACTGATATACATATCAGTCCGATATGGGGACCTACGACCCAGGGATCCAAGGACTAAAAAAATCAAGACCCTAAATTTACTTCAATATTTTCAACCTACATGTATGTTTATTTCACTTCAACTGTTCGTTATTGTTATACTCTTCACTCAATCATCAGATTTTTTTTTCAAATTTTAGATTAATTATTTAGCTCAGTTTTGATCAAAAAATCATCATCTGTCATGTGTTTCAGTCCTTTTTATACATAGCTTTAATAATAGAACCTCTTCTGTTTTCAATATTAAACGTTTATTGTTAATCAGTCTCTTGATGAAGTTTACCAAGAATTATCAAGAAGAAAATGATTGCATAATCAATCGCTACGTGAAAAAAAATCTATGGTCGGAAGAGAACGTGACGGTTTTACGCTTTGCATAAAAAAAAGCATTCTGCTAACTCATTCCGCTTTCGTTATTAAATAACAAACGATGGTTACCAGAAATATGCGACCGCAATCCATCAATATTCACGCCATGTGACGCCGTTTTTATCGAGCCGACTCATTTAAATGCTGAGTCCGCCTACGTAACACAAGGTGAATCGTCATCGTCATCGTTGTCGATCGTTAACTGTAATGATTTAATTAGCGTACCTTTTCGTAGAGAGCCGATACTCGCCGAGGCCCGATCGCGCCTATCGCAGCAACCCGGTTCGTGTTTTTCAATCCAATTATCGACATTACGGCGCGATCAAAATTATCTGTTGTCGAATTAATGCTCTTGTCCCGCTTTTCGGAGAAGGCGACGCGACGCGACGGGGGCGGGGTGAGTTTTAATGAGCGATTAACTCGGCGTTACGCAACGAAATTAATTATCTGCCGATAAATGCCTTCCATGGAGGGTGTATTAACGATCGCGATAAACCCGCGTGGCAGAAAACACGCGACGATACAGATTATTTCGTGCCGCTAAACAAACGGGCCTGCAACTGTTAGACTGATGCCATTGTCACTTCATAACGTCTGACGGTTTCGAAATGCAGAAATAGATAAGTAAAATACCGCATTCTTTCAAAAAAATCGATAAATAAATCAGATCTCTTGCTATTATTAATAATAAACTCCAAAAAGGAAATATAAACAGCTTTCTTTCCCTATATAATATCTAACTTTCTTATAGACTTTAGATTTATTATGCATGTATAATTTCTCTCTAGCGATTCAAATTGCGATTTTTTTAGCGCAAAGTTGAAAAAAAATATATAGAACAGCATATATACAGATGTGTAATTAGTAATTACGTCTTTATTAATATCATTTATCGAAGTAGAAATCCTTTCTCAAGCGAAATAAAACGTTTTGTGCAAACATATTGCGTAATAATAATGTTGCCAGCTGTTATTATGAAGACGCGATAATTTCGCGTCACAAAAACCACAAGTGTTAATTATGCAGATGCGATCATAATGTGAAAATGTCAAATTGCGTAATTAGCTTCTTAGATGCGGAATAAATCATGTAGCAGAATAAATACGAAAATCACGAATCAAAATGTAAATTAAATAAGAAAGCTAAAGGATCGATAATTTGTCAACAAGATAATATTT